AAAGCGCGTTGGTGCGGGCGACGAATCTGGCCTTGGTTGAAGTGAGGGAACGCTCCGAGGCTGATGGGTTGGGAGGCCATACGATAACATTGGTCCTTAATCATGCCTTCGGATGCATTGGAGATGTGGAGAGAACGCAGTTTGATTATGACCTGCTACTCCCTGTGCTTATTGGAACGGCGTTTTATTCCAATGAAGGGTTTCAGTCGGCATACTTTCTTGGCGGTTTGGATCTGGATGTGCGGACGACTCAGTCGGGAAAGCTGGATTGGAGTGTAAGTTTATTGCAAGTGAGTTGAGGATCTTGTGCTGACCATACATAGCCACACTCGAGTTCCTTCAGACAGGTCGAGGTCATCATGAACAGGCCGCTTGTAGCCTCAATGGGACCTCTGTCGCGTCTGATTGCGCATGCAGTAGAGAACGTCAAGAACCCCTGGATCATCCAGACCATGATGGATGATCTTGCAAGTTTTTCTCGTGCTCTCACTACGCAATGGCGGCAGAACAAGTTTTCTGATATTGAGGCCGCTGAAGAGGCAGCCAACCTGGAAGAGGAAGCGCTTCACAAGACAACACCACAGCTGTGGAACCTTCTCAAGGCCGCCTTGTTTGCCACGACCATCATCCTCCGTGGCGTCTTTAAACGAGCACTGGCTGACAGGGCACTTGCTGCCGATGCCGTTGCCCCATTGCTCGCTGCGCAAGCCTTGCAAACACTGCGCCATCTCTACTTCATCACATCACGGCTAGGCCCAGCATCCTTCTCCCAACACACCTTTGTCTACCTCACCGCCATTGACATCCTTGCTGCCTATCCTAATCACGCCGACAAGTTCCTCAAAACAATCGCCTCCCAACATCTCGGCCAAATCCCCAGCCATCCCCTGGACCGTATCCTCGACCTCTACTTCCTCAACACAGCCGAGCACTTCACCCTGGTTCTCTCCCCCTCCACCAACGAAGACCTCCTCGTCGCATCCGCAGTCCCCTACCTCGCTGCAGCTGAAAACCGCAACATGCTCCCCATCTTCGAAGCCGCACACAGCGTTATGCTCGCCGTCCTCTCAGCCCCTCAATCCGCAAACCTAACCGCAAAACACCTTCCTTTCTACATCGACGCCCTCTTCCGCGTCTTCCCTAACAGCCTTTCCCCCCGCCAGTTCCGCCTCGCCTTCAAGACCCTCATGCGCGTTACCGCGCCCCCATCCCCCCTCTCAGCAACGCACCCCGATCTCCCAGCTACCCTGTTGGAAATCGTCTATCACCGCGCTCTCAATGCGCCTACGGCCCCACTTCCCCCTGACGCCGTAGCCCTCGCGCTACAAGACTCGGATGCCCCGCCCCCCGCCCTCTCCGAACAAGCAGTCCTCGCACTTACCCTCATCGATGCACTCCCGTATCTCCCCATCGCCCTGTTGGATGAGTGGCTCCCGCTTTGCGCGGAGCTGCTGAATCAGATCCATGACGATGAGATGCGCGAGGTGGCGAAGAAACGGTTCTGGGAGGTACTCGTGAGTGGCGAGATGGATCCTGAGCGTAGTGTTGTAGCGGTGAATTGGTGGAGTACGATGGGTGGGAGGGAGAGAGTGTTATATGGAAGGGAGGAAGGGGTCGGGTGGATGAGTGGCGCGTTGCCAGTGGAGGAGGAGAGGAGGGTTAGAGAAAGTAAATTGTAGGGTTGTTGTGGATTGATAATGATACCCATTCGTTCTTTTTTTTTAAAAAAAACCCACCCTTTTTTAAATTTTTTGGGCGATTCAAAGGGTGCGAGATAATGATATGATGTTTACTTGAGAAGTCGAGCTGAGAAACTTTTTTATCTTATTTTTTTGGAATGAACACTGTAGTTCCCTCCCCTTTTCCCTTTCCGCTTATGAAGGGAATATCGAGTTTTTTTTTAACCCGACACAAAGGTAGCAAAGTCGTGTATCTAGCCTCTGACGCTCAGCACAAATGCAGCGAATGAAAGAAAAAAGGGGGTAAAAGCGAGAGAAAGAGACATATAATACAAAGAGACAAAAAAGAAAATGATATGTACAACAACGGAGAAAAAAAGGTATCCAGTAAAGGATCAGGAACCGATAGGCCGTGAAATCTAACTTTTCTATAGCATACATGTAAGAAAAAAGAATGAAAAAAGGGGCTAATACTATACTATCCCCGGCATCCTCGTCTCCATGTTCCGTAACTCCAACAACGACACATCACCCTCCTCCTCATCCTCCTCCGCCGGCCCCCTACCCCTCAAAATCGTCGACATCGACTTGACCGTATCACTCTGTTTCCTAAAATCACCCTGGCGCACACTCCCATCCGTAGCTCTGGCAGAGCCATACGCAAAGCGGGCAGACGCACTGCTGCCCCAAGCCGAGGAACCCGAGAAATAGTGTTTGGCGAAAACCTTGAGGGCGGGAGCCGAGGCGACAATGGCGCCGAGTTGGACTTCCAAGACGGCGAGGAGGAGGGCGGGCCAGGTGGTCCAGGAGGAGTCGTAGAGGGCGTTGTTGAAGATTGTGTAGATGGCGACGATGCGGGCGATGCAGACGATGCAGACTATGTAGCCTGAGGCGAAGATTGCGCCCAGCGCAATCTTTTGGCGCTTGGGGATTTGCAAGTTCCAGTAGAGTAAAGTAGGGAGGAACGCGGCGATTGCGTCTTGTACTGCGGAAATGATGCTGGCGGCCATTATATCTGCTTCTTCGTTGACCCAACAGTGGTATTTGTAGCCCTCGAGTTGGTGGGCGACGTCGAATTGGTACCAGAAGGCTGCAAGCGGGTTGCAGGCGGTGAAGAGGATGATGGTGAAGGCGGTGATGAAGACGGCGATGATGACGATGCTGATCCAGGTCGCGATGCGGAAGCTGCTCGGGATGCAGCGCGCGTCGAGGCGTCGGTGGAAGAGAAGGATGGAGACTTTAATTAGTCCGCTGGCGATGATGTAGAGGAGATAGACGGCGAAGATAATCTTGCGCTCGGGAACGTAGAGGTTGGGTTTCACGTCCCACATGTGGCGGTCGAAGCCGTAAACTTCGGTTGCTATCGCTTCGTGTTAGCCAAATGTCGGGATCGGAAACCACTCTTTCGCGTCTTTCATCTTTCTTCCGTTTTTTCTTGGGGTTGCCTACCTAGACATACCACTATTGTGAACCCGATTGTCGGAATCTGTATAACAGATCGAAATATCAGCAATTAATAGACGGGATATAGACAGGCAGACAAGGGGTTGTTCTCTTTCATACCATTGCAAGCAGTATTATCCAATCGTCCAGTCCACCGTTTCTCTGTACAACGAATCGAGCCCAAGTCCTCGCTGCTACAATGACAACCATGATTGTTCCAAGCACACCGGCCAGAGCGGGTACAACCTTCGGTCGGGTGATCGGATCATCGTAGTTGGACTGTGGCCATTTGGCCAGCGCTTCGAGCGGAGGCAGAACGCCGCTGGAGCCACTGCCATTAGGATTCAGATAGGTGCCCGGCATTCTTTATCTCGCTCCAGTTGCGAGTGGAGGTGTGTATATTAAAACAACGTGTCACTCTTTCCGTCCAGAATATACTAGGACGGCGGGACGGCTAATAACGAGAAAAGTGAAAGCTAATGTAAAGTGAGTCCAGGATTTTCCACCCGGGCCTTGCTCACCAATATTAAGACATGCTGGGTAATCTGGTCGTATCACGTCACATTCATCTGACGGACGACGGGAGGCGAATTGCCCTTGTAGAGTGACAACATCCACTCATACTTAGTACCCGCACGGCGCGGCGCTTTTCACCTGCGCAAACCTAGTTCTTCCGTATTGGAACCTCTAACATTTTACGCGGCTCGGATGTAGCTTAGAATTAGGAAAATGGATAAACACGAACCATTATGACTGGTGAGCTAAACACACACGGTTAGGCCTTGCTCTAGAACTCCCTTCCCCCTCCCCAGACGCAGCCAACCACTGCATCCCTAAGCGGCAAATAACGCGATGCATTACCGATACGCGACACATACCCCGCGATCGCGTCTCATGTACCTTGACAGGGTGTTGTCCAGTGAGGCCCTGGTGTGATTTTCCATGTACCGGTTCCCCGGAGAAAAGATTGGTAATGTACGTGAAACAAAACTTAAACCTACCCTGCCGTTGCCGGTACGCAAGGGTCAAGTTGTCCAAGCTAAAATAACCATTGGTGGCATTAATGCAATCACTCATTGTGTACCGAGGTTCGTATCCTTATACCCGTCATTGTAATCCCAGAGAAGTGCCGATTCGATAATGGAGGTGCGGCAAGCCCAAGCCTGTAAATACGAAAAGTCAGTAAAAGAGGGTGTGCGAAGTTGATTGTTTGGGAAGTGACCCCGCTGACGATGGATGGGCTTGCCAAGACGCTATACCGAAAGAAGCGTATTAGCCAGGGCATCTATGTAGGGACGTGGCGAAACGCCAGATCGATCCAGATCTCACATGGGGATAATTATCACCTTGGCTCGTTACGAGAGAGTGGCTGATCGGGAGCTTGATCTACAAATCGCATATGCCGGCACTTGTTGTCCTCGCGTGATCATCGCGTGGTCTAGTTCACCGTTCATATTTAGCCAGGAACCTGAACAAGTCCACCTACTCCGCGAATAGGATTGGCATTTCGTACTACCTTATCTGCGGGGTTGAAAGGGGGTTATAGAACGACTTGTTGTCTTTTCCCATCGTCTGTTATGCAAATGTCAAAGTTCTTGTCAGCTGCCTTGTTCTACGTGTGGCTTACCGTTAGTTGGCTGGAACGTGGTACACTACCGTAGTGGTACAAGTAGACCAGACCTTTGTATGTGGGCCCCTAACAAGGGGATGATACAACATTGGGATATAGAGTAAGAGCTATACTGTATATAATGTAGTTTTCGTTGAGATTATTCAGAACCTTTTTGTAATTCTCCCCAATGTGTAAATTAACAATAGAGTCATCCGAAGAAGAGCCTAATTATCAATTTTAGCGTCTCTACGTACAGGTGACAGTAATCACAGTATGTCGTATCCTGCTGTGCTACAAAGGCAACAGAAATACAGGCATTTGTTGTGATACTTGCTCGTCCCAGATCGTTCTGTTACCTTGGCAAGATTAGACGAATGCACGTAGCCGTAGAGCTTCTGGGGATGAACCACACCACTCTTGTTAATGCCGCGGAGGCACTCGGAAGTAACCTCAGAAACCCAGCAAGATCTGCAGTGAGGTTCGTGACTCGTGCAAAACACCTCATACGATGCACGTTTGTTTGATTCAGAGAAGAGGCAAAATAGAGTAGATTGACGAATGAGGGAACGCGTGCTTACGTATTGCAAGGACTAGTAAAACAAGGACAAATCTACCAGCCAACCAATTGATCAAAAGAGAAAACGACCCTGTTTATTGTAGCAGAAGAATAAAGAAAGCAACTTTGCGTTGTAGTTGCATGAGGCGTGTAGTTTGTTAAGACAGTTTTGGAAACACAAATGAAACAGAACATGATGCTGTTGGCGTTGCTCTGCTGTATGATGAGTAATGGAAAGAAGAAAGTTCAAATGCAAACCTCAGGGCCGAGCGCCATCCGATGCGCCAAGAGATACCGGCCTAACAAGAAATATAAAAAGGGAAACAATAAGAGACGCCGTCGCCATGCGAAGTCTTGCATAATTTACACCAAGGGCACGCCCTTGTTTTAAGAGTCAGTGGCCCACCTGTTGGGCACTCGTTCGGTCGCACCCTACGTTTGCTCTTCTTTCGGGCTGGCAGTGCGCGACTCTGAGCGCTGGCGAATGACGGCATCTTTCAGCGCCCTCAACTTCTCTTCCGTCACACGAATGGCTTCGTCCATGTCCCTCTCTTTCATGTCTCTGGGCGAAATTCGCTTCTGCGTGTCGACTTCCGGCTGAAGCCTTGCACCAGTGACAACGGAGCTTTGGACCCGATCCAACGCGACCCTCTCTTCGAGCCAGGCCCATAAATCAGACTCTTCATGGCGCCAAATCTCTTCGTACGCCACCTGTCTCTGAGCAGTCGACCACTGGTTCGGACCAGTAACTCCTGTGGTACCACGGAAAAGCCAAGTGTACATGAGGAGCGCTCCGAGGATGAAGATGATGACTTGTGGAGTGAAGATCGACTCTAGCACATCTGCTAGTGGGCCCAACAGACTACGAAGAGGCTCCAATATGCCCCAGTTGCTTTCCTTGGATTGGCTGACTGGAGCAGCAACTGAAGTTGGTGCGGGTGCATCATCCAAAAGATTACCTTTGGAGCGTTTCCTGCCCTTTCCGCCTTTGCCCATAGCTTTGCCACCGCCGGCTTTAGCGGCGCTTACAGCAGTGCGAAGAGCAGCAGTAAGGGAGGTGGCGTATGACATTTGACCATCATTCGCACCTTTCTCAATAGGGCCTGGTTGTGGTTAGTACATTATTGATCATCAGTGACAAAGCTACTGTCTTACCCTTTAGCCAACTCTTTCCGCTCCATTCGACAGTAAATGTCATGATCAAGCGCGTGCTATTTCCCGGTCCCCACATCAGACAGTATCGCGTTTTAGTGAGGAATATGCTTCCGTTGGGTACATCCGGAGTCGCCGTGCTGCACTGCACACTCACAGCTTTCTCCAAGTCGAACTGTTCCAAGTTCATGGAAATGTTGCATTTGGTCTGTCGAGGGCCTACAGGGGCGTTCAGTGGCTTGATGTAAGAATAGTTGAAGGTTTTTGAGTCTTCACCCAGCCCCTTCTTGTCGTCTTCCATTTGCAGGTCAGTAGACTTTTGATCGTCGACCAACCACTTGCGCATGAATGCACCAGAAGCAGGACCAAACATCAAGCTGTACACCTTGCCCAGAGGCGCGGGAATAGTAGTGTCGATAAGCAGTTTGTCATAGTGTTGATCACTGTCACCACACTCGCTAGGTCCATGTGTTGATGGACCAGGGAAATCCTGTGCAGCAGAAGCAGCCCCACTAGTTGCCGCTTTGGCAGCATCGGCAGTGTCCCCACCACCGCCATAAGCCTGTGCTACTGCGCCGCTGACCTTTCGTGTCGTTTCGACAGGTACAGCAGAGCCGGCTTCGCTACCAGTTACGCTACCCTCGCCAGGCTCTGTGAAACTACCTATACCGTCATCGTCCTCGGCATCTTCGTCGTATACCTCGTCATCTGAATCTTGGCTGGATCCGTCGTCACTGGGGACTGACTCTGCTTTCTCCGTCTTATCGCCCGTACCGCCTGATCCGTCTAGGGTGACACCGTTGAGAGACGACTTGAGATTGGGGTGAGAGATCTTCCAGATGCCAATGATGAGGTCGTAGGTCGAGTCTCGCGATAGGAACGAGGCGAATACGTTACGAGCGTGGAGCGTCTGGATGACTATAGCATTGGGAAAGAGGACAGCGGTGGACTTTTTCTCAACAGACACAACCTCGTCGAAGCTGATGACCAGGTTGGTGACCCATCCTAGGATGTTACTAGAAAAACACAAATGGCCTTCTGAAACATATAAACGTCCATGGAGCAAGATTTCCTTCTGGAGGGCTGCACTATAGTCCTCGATCAAATAATCGTCCTCGGGAACGCTCTTGAACAGATTGTGGAATTCCTTGTTTCGTCTGGGCGGTGCTACTGCAAAACCGGTTCCATTCAACCGCTGGCTTTGCAGTGCGGCACTTGGAGCTAGAGTACTTGTACTTGCACTGATGACTCCGCCCAGTGTATTTCCCGTGGTAGCGGAGCTGCCCCTGTGCCGTCTCCGTCTGCCGGCACTTATACGACTGCGAACGCTGCCCTGTCGTTGTATCGACGCTGGCGAGTCGGTTAGCTCGGTTTGCCGGGGAGGAGTGGCAGCGCCATTTCCTGATTGACCAGAGACGGCAGTCAGCGACCGTGGGCGCTCGCTGGCTACCGACGGGGGCTTGTCGCCTGCATATGCGGCTGAGACTGCTTGAGCAGCAGCTCTGTCCTCAGACTTTGCAGAAGCCTCATCGGCCTGCATGGCTACGTTTGTTGCAGAAGACATGGGGCTGGTGTCTTTACTGTCAGTAATGCCGAGTTGTTCGAGGCTTAAGTTTCCAGAGCCAAGAGTTTCAACAGCAGGTCTACGCTGCGCAGCGCCTTCTGTTGCAACCGTACTAGCGTTGGCTGGTCCAATGACTTCCTCACCACCGTCTTCGGTCTCTTTTTCCTCCTTTTGCTGTTGTTGGCTAGCCTTGTTCTTAGCGTTTTGATTGATTGCAATGGTGTCGGTAATGTTGCTAGCAGCGTTCTGCGCAGCAGAAAAGATGGAAGCAAAGAAACCACCAGATACACCAGGCGATGATGGCAAGACAGCAGTTCCTCCAGGGGTTTTTGCTTCTTCAGGATGAGGAGTTAGGGGCGGGATAGACGATTGTGATAGCTTGCTCGGAGGGTTTGTCGCTGATCGTACGCGTCGGTGCGCTATCATACTCCCCGATGAAGGGGCGGCTACGTTGGAAGTTGACTGCACAGCAGCAGACTTGGAGCCGTTGTCGGAATGTATTGACTCTGTGGGCGAGGACGCGTTTCCATCAGTTGGCGTGGGTGGGGTTATGAAGGTCTTAGGGGCATCGATTAAATTCGAGGATGCTGCAGGTAGATTGGCTGTAACAATACGTTTGGGAGCCGCAGATCGGGGCGATGGACTCGACCGTGTCTCTCCGTCTATGAGAATCTGTGGTGGTGAGGCTGGAAGGGAATCATCGGCAATTTTGGCGTCACGCTTCTTTGCTCCAAAAAATGAACCAATACCACCTCCGCTTGTGCTTGGCCTTGCAGTCTCTGTCTCGGTGCTGACTTTGGGAACCACTGGAGATGTGATCGTTCTGCGGTTGGGCGTGAATGCTTCCCTGAGCTTTCCAACTGGCGACACACCCCGTTTATTTCCAGAGACGTCGGTGGTGGTTGTGGGTTTGGCGTTACTGTCCTCGGTCGAGAGCTGAGAGTTTACGAGTGTCGCATCTGCAGAGTTGGTGGAGTCGACCGTCTCGGAGGCTATGAGAGGCGAAGAGAGTGTCAAGAGACCGGCATGGGATTGGTGTGGTGAGATGCCGGGACGCTTTTGAGGAGGTGGGCTGTGGGGAGATTTAGTAGCCGCACACAGAGGGGAGCGAGTAGGTAGGTTCGAGGCAAAGAAAATATGAGACGGACAAGTGTTGGAAAGAAACAAAAGAAAGGGCGAAGCGAGGGTTGAGGAGGGATTGCAGGCGGATATGCGATCATGAGAGAGGGAGAGAGGCAGTGGGTGGGGAAGCTAGTGGCCAGAACGTACGCCTGGGCGCAGTGGAGTCGGTGCCGCAGGGCCATTGCACTGGCCAAACCTTGCTCAGCAAACCCCTAAAGTGTGATATGCAGCGCCGTTGGAAACGGAGGGCAGAGAGCAGAGGGCGTGTGCCTGAAACTAATAGAAAACGGAACACTTACGTTTCGGAGTCGGAGTCGTCGGTGAGCAGGCTGCTGGCAACGCTCTTTGCCAGGCCCAGCGAGTCGTCGCTCTGGTATGGATGGTTGATGCCGGGCCGCTTGAGCTCAGGAACCGGTGGGACAGGCTCGTCGGGGTCGAGAAAGGACAGGTCCTCGCGGCTGGCAGAGGCCGAGATGGACGTGTCGCGCTTCTTGCGACTTTTGAAGAGCTTCGACATGCGGCGGCGATGCGACGATGAGGCGTCGCTGCGGCCGTCTTCGGAGTTTTGGCGACTCTTGCGACGGTCGGTGGCGCCGTCGGTGGGCTTGGAGACGACGTCGTCGTTGCTGCTTGCAATGGACACGGTCGACGAGGCCAGGCCTTTGGAATATGATGGTGGTGCAGCCAGGGTGCCGTCCTTGTCTCTGGGAGGGCTGAGGACGGAGCCAATGCTCCTGCGCCGCTCCTGCGAGGCCATGGGCGGTGGCGTGCGCGAGGTGCAGAGGGCGAAGTTGGATGCGCTCGACGAATAATAGCAGCAAGACGAGTAGGACAGAGCAGGTCAAGCAAGTCAAGCACGTCAAGCAAGCCAAGCCAGTCGTCGGGGCCAGTAGGTGCCTCAAGCCAGCATCTTAAGGGTTACAATGGGTCGAGGGGGTGGCTGTTGGCTGTGGCTATGTCTGCATGTCTGCTCGTATATGTATCTGTAGCCGTCGATTACGTAGGTCCAGACTTTGTGACGCGCATGGGGTCAGTAGGTGGGTGCAGCCAGGCGAGGGGGAGAGTGCTGTTGTAAGTATGAATGTGTGTGCATCCTATAGCATCCAAGTACCCACGCCCCCCATATGTATGCCTCGCGTCTATCTGGCACGCCGAATAAAAGTAAGCACGGCACGCCTGTTGAGAGCTGAAACGGTGCCCTCATTCTGGCCGTATTCACGGGTCCAGTGATCGACTCGTGGTTGCATGGCCGCGCCGCATCATCCCTGTCCGCCGACCATCATCCCTCGTCAGCCTAGTATCACCTTCACCACCATCACTGCCACCACCACTACCACCACCACACCACCTTGCCCACGCCCTGAGCATGTCCTCCCCCCGCGGCTTCAATAAACACCGTCGCCGCCGCCATGGAGTCCGCCCACCTTACCCACGCCCATGATCACGCCCGCGCTGCCGCCGCTGCTACGCGCAACAATAGCGTCGCGACCGCGGGGCAGGAGCACGACCTGGCCGCCGCCGCATTCCATAATGCCACCAACGACACGCACAACGCTGAGGTATTCACCATCGCATCATCCTCGCTAGAACCCCCCGCTGACTGCTACCCCAGGCTCTGCGCATCCTCGCCCTGCTCGAGGTGCACCACCGCAAGCTCGCCGGCCTAATCAAAGAAGCTCCGCCCAAGCAGAAGAAGACAGCCGCTGCGACAAAGCAACCTACCGACTCATCGGTCTCTTCCCTGCCCAAGTCCTCAACTACCGCGGTCCCACAAACCCCAGCTGCTTCTTCTACAACCCCGCCGACGTCGCGCCGCAGACTGCCCCAGTCATCCATAGCCACCAACCTGGCCGAGAAGCGCGGCATCCCCAGCGTAAAGAGAGCCACCGCCGCCCCTGCTGTCAGCAACTCAAATGCTACGGCCGCCCGCCATGACCAGCCCTCCACGCCTGTCCGTGACCTCCTCGCCCAGCACTCGCGCAAAGGAGATTCCCCAACCGCAAACGACTCGCTCAAGCACCCCGCCCCAGCCTCGCCCTCACCACAGCGATCCTCGCCTCCGCCAGACGACAACTTCCGCCGCTTCTACAACGCCTTTGGCGGCATTATATCCGCCATCAGCGCGCCCCTTGCCTTTACATCCTTACCTCTCAACCCCTCAGCATCCACCCCCGAGCCAGAGCCACCCAGAGAACAGGACAGAGCTGCAAGGACAAGGTCTAGAAACCACTCGCCTGAAGCTTCGAGGACTGTTACTTCTTCGGTTCCCGATCTTGCCGCCCTCATCAGTAAACCTGCGTTGCGTGCCTTGAGGGAAGACGGTGCGCCTCCGCTTGGTCCCAACGAGAGCTTCTACCTGGTCCCTACCACCGGCGGCACAGTCACCTACGCTAGTGTCCTACGCGACCCCAACGCACCCAACCTTTCCGCAAACAACCAGTACAATACACTCGACGATGGCTCCGGATCTCTGAGGGGCAGCTCCCATGAAGAGTTTGTCGATGCACGCGAGAATGTTGGCCCTCCCTCACCCACCAGAACACGCCGTCCGCTCTCTCGTGGGAACCCAGGCACGAGCGTCACCACTCAGCTCAACATACCTGCGGGTAGAGGGTCGCGCCACAAGACTATGGAAGAGCTCGCCCTCGAAAACGACACGCTCAAGTCCGTGATCGACAAGCAGGCCAAGCGCATCCAAATGTGGGAGCTCAGCTCGCAAAACTCCTTCAACGCTCTCGCTCAGTCATTCCGCGTTCGAGGCTCTGGACGCGGCAACAGCGATCCCAGCTCCCTTGCCGCCCACGGCGTGCACCCACACCCGTCCCTCCCGTCACCTCCCATCCCAGGCCATGCGCAACAGCAGCACCCACCGCCGGCGCCCACCTCACCAGGCTCCGCTCCACCACCCGACGCCGAAGCCCTCAAGCGCATAGCTGATCTCGAAGCCCTGCTCGCCTCTCAAAACGCAAAGATCGACGACCTCATGGCCAACAACGACAAGCTGGCCAAGCAGCACGAGAGAGATGCACAGGTCCTCGGCCGGTACCGCGAGCAGTGGGAGAAGCTCAAGGCGGGCGCCAGGAAAAAGGAACAGGAGAGGCGTGATAAGAGAGTCTTGGTACCGGACGGTAAGCCCACGGATTCTTTGGCAACCGAGCCCGAGGCTAGCGATCAAACTGCTCAGCCAGACGGACTGGAACAACAGCAACAGCAACAGCAGAAACAATCACAGCAACAAGAACAAGAGGATGATATGCAGGAAGAACCGGGCTTTGGAAAGGCTTAGATAATACCCCCTTTTTTTTCCAAATACTATTCTTGAATGAAACAAACATACCAATCAAGCACTTGCTTGCTTGCTTGCAGCTATACTGCCAGGAACAATCACACTCTCAAGCTATGCACAATTGCTTTCAAATCATCTTATATATTTATTACTAGACAACCGAAACACTTTGCAGCTACTGTCCGCCGCCAATTTGGTCCCTGCAAATCCTCCCGCAAAACGCCAAATATTTCCTAATCCAGCGATAAAACTTCTCAAAATAGACAGAAAAAGACTACTTCTGACTCTCTTTCACACCCGCACTGCAACAGGCTCTGAACAAGCAGCTCGCTTAAGCAGCAGAAGCAACAGGCTTCTGCGTAATGGGCTGGTAAGGAGGCGCAACAGGTCCACCAACATTGACCTGCTGGCTGTCCATACCCGCAGCGTGGCCCTCAAAGTCGGGCGCATCAGGGTGCACACCAACACGCTCCTTGGCCAGCAAGTCCACCAAAAGCGGGCTGGGCTTGTTGCTCCTCTGCGAGAAGTTGGCCTGTTGATCCTTGTACTGCTGCACATTCTCAATGTACTTGTCAAACAGATAGGCAGAGTCCAGAGGTCCACCCTTTGCTTCGGGGTGGAACTGCGCGCTGAAAATGGGGCGCGAGCTGTGGATCAGACCCTCGTTCGACTGGTCGTTGAGGTTGGTGAAGTACTCCTTCCATTCGCTCGTCAACGTAGTCGGGTCAACGGCATATCCGTGGTTCTGCGAGGTAATGTGGCACTTGCCGGTGGTGAGGTCGAGAGCCGGAATGTTGTGAGCGCGGTTGCCGTACTTGAGCTTGATCGTCTTAGCACCAGCAGCAAGGGCAATCAGCTGGTGACCCATGCAGATGCCCATAACTGGGAGCTGCGAGGTCTCAAAGAGCTTGCGGAGGTTGTGAACTGTGGTTGTGCAGTGGGTTGGGTCACCAGGGCCGTTCGAGATGAAGACACCGTCAAAGTGGTGGGCGACCTTGTGGATAGGGTAGTCGTAGGGGAAGCAAGTGACACTGGCGCCGCGAGAGACGAGACTGCGAAGGATGTTCTCCTTGACACCACAGTCAATCAAAGCCACGTGCATGTCTCCCAAAGAGGAGCTGACGTGGAAGGGTGCCTTTGTGGAAACACGACGCACGAGGTGGATAGCCTCGGGATCAATGTACGCCTCGTCCTCATCAGCATCGTACTCCTCACCAACGGAGATACGAGCAAGAGAAGATCCCTGCTCACGGAGGTAGGTTACAACCTCACGAGTGTCAACACCAGAAATGGCGGGGACACCCTCGCGAGCACACCATGCACCAAGCGACTCGACAGCAGTCCAGTGGCTGTGCTTCAGGGCATAGTCCTGGACAACAATGCCAGAAGCTTGGATGTATGGTGACTCGAAGTATCGGAGCAGGCCATGCTCGTCACGGGCGCTCGAGGGTACACCGTAGTTACCAATCAGTGGCTGGGTGAAGACAAGGATCTGGCCACGGTAGGAGGGGTCGGTCATAGACTCGGGGTATCCGACAAGAGAGGTTGTGAAGACGGCTTCACCGGAAATATTGGTTTTAGCACCAAATGACTTGCCCTCGAAGATGGGACCGTTCTGTGCAGCTGTGAGTCTAGTGCTTAATTTTGAAGTAATGACTGTGCGTACCTTGATGGTAAAAGTGGCAGGCTCGTTAGAGACGGCAGTGGCCCTGCGTGCACTAGGAGCAGGCATAACACGTTCGGTATTTGATTGCACAGTAGCCAGGTAGCGTGCCTGTACGCGGTTCTTTGCCACTCGTCCCAGGAGACCTGCGGACCGGACCGTGGAGGGTTTGAATAGTTGAGAGATCATGATGATGGAAGATGTGATATAGAGAAGTGTTTGGTTCGGTGATTTGTTGGGTAGGCTTTCAGTTCACTGACGCCTTCCACAGGTGGTCTAGAGATGGAGTCAGTTTGACGCTGCCAACGCGTCATCTTGTAGTAGCGTACCTGAGATGTAATCCTACAAGACTCAATTAGCCATGATCATGAGAAAATAAAAGAGTGAAGAACACAGAGATGGATACGCATCGATCGTCAAGCCGCTGCGGCAAAAGGCCGGCGGTGAATGACGGTGTGCGGCAAGTTTTAGATAACATGTCATACGCCCAAACAGACAAAACATACCTGGGAAGTAAAGAGTGTAGGCGCAGCACTCATATGCGCGATTCTATCTTTATCGGAATCAAAATGGAGTGGGTTCAATTAGTCGACCCTGGTGTATTGTTGATTGTTGAGCTTGAATGTGTGTGGTGAGAAGAAGTGTTGGCGATGGTGAGTGAGGAGAAAGAGTACCGCGGGGAATTTCATACAGCTCGCGATTACGTGAAGCCTGCGCTATGACGCCGATGCGCCAATCAAAGACGGCCACAATCAAGATAACAAAGTAAGCCAGCACGAAAGATTCTTCAAACACAAAGATCCGGGGAAAAGACTCGAGGATCGTGATTCACAGCCCCACTGCTCTTGTGCTCTTTGGGAGTGTTGCTTATTTCTGCCCGATCTGTCCGAGCGTGCAGCTTGTGGTTGAGCTTTTACATTGTGTGTATAGTTTATCGCATATTTACTATCACTTGTCCATCATATGTGAAGGCTTGACAAAAGGAAGTGTTTCTTTTTCGTTGGCTATGCGCAAGAAACGAAAGTGACGGCCAAAGGAGTCACAAGTAATCTATCCCGATATCGGCAACACTGCGGTGCTACGGTCTACTGGACCTGCAGGACTAGCTTTGCCGAGCTTTTTTTTCTCTCTTAGGGCTATGTCAATCACGCCCTAGGTGGGTGTCATTATTTCCTTGCCACATAATTCGCTTTGAACGTAGTATGACTAAATCATGATAGGGGCATTCCACTGGATGAGTCCTGTGAGCAACGGAGTTTATTATGAGACTACACATGAGCAAAGTACGTGGCCATGTGATTAGGGAACACAGAAAAACTCGTCGGGAAGCGGAGCCTCCGGCACACTTGCATCTTATACGTTCTGTCTCCACATCTCTAAACAACAATCTTGCCTGTCAGCCTCACGTCCCTGGAGCTTGCTCCGACGAAGACAGTGTACTCGCCCGTCGCAACAGTCCACTTCCTCGTCTTCTCGTCCCAGAAACTCAAGTCCCTCCTCCTCAGCTTGAATGTTGCAATTCCGCTAGCACCAACCTCCAGCTTGAGCTTGGTGAAGCCTCTGAGTTGCTTTGGTGGAGAGTTGGTAGATGCAGGGTAGCCTAGATACAGCTGCGGTACCTCTGCACCAGCAACACCACCAGAGTTGGCAATCTTGGCAGTCACTGTAGCAACGGTCTCGAAGAGATCCACGGGGCCTCCAGGTCCTACAGCGCCAGTCGCAGGACCAGCAGAAGGCTTACCAGTTATGGCGAGATCTGAGTAGGTGAAGTTGGTGTATGAGAGTCCAAATCCAAATTCAAACCTGGGTGTGATGTTCTGCTTGTCGAAATAGCGATAGTCGATGAACAGATCCCAGGACTTGTCGTCGCCTCTGGCAATTGTAGTGCCGTAGTCAGACTCTTGCTTCGCAATGGTGTAAGGAAGCTTGCCGCTTGGCGACGCTGCGCCATAGATGATGTCGACAACGCCGTTGCCGGGCTCTTGGCCTGGGAGACCTGCCCACACTACTGCAACAACGTTGGGGTTCTCAATCCACTGCTCCATGATGATTGGCCCAACACTGTGAACGACAACGACCGTCTTCTTGTTCACGGCAGCAACTGCCTTGACAAGCTCATTGCCATTATGCCAGGGGTCTAGGTTGTTTCGGTCGCCGGCGTTACCTTCAACGGTGATGTAGCCTTCGCCAGCGTTGCTGTTAATGCATACCACGGCAACCTCTGCATTCTGAGCTGCGCTAGCACCTTGCTGGGCGTTGTCGGTGGGCGACGAAGTAACCGTCGTACCGTCTTTTTGCGCCTGTGTCTTGATGGCATCCAATGGCGCGACCATATCGAGTGGAAGTTCAACTGATCCCGAACCCCAGCCCATGGTAAGAACACCCTCGGTGCATCCACGGTCGACACAAGCATTGGGCCCGCGGGGTGCAACAATACTGTCAGTTCCAATGACTGCAATGCTCTTTGGCTTCTTCAGAGGTAGCGCTCCATTGGCGTTCTTCAGCAGGATAGTGCCGTCTCGAGCAGTCGCTCGGACATTGGTCTTGTGGTTCCCACTGATTACTTTTGATCCAATGGTCCAGGAGTTGAAGGAAGTCGCGGGATAACCCTTGTCCTGGCCCAAAAGGTACCACGCAGCAAGGACTCGCTTGACCATGTCATCGAGGCGTGATTGCTGAACCTGACCGTTGCTAATGGCGGTCTTGAGTTGCGGTCCCCAGAGCACGTTTCCGCCGCTAAAATCACTGCCGGGCATGGTCATATCCAGGCCACCATTTGCACTGCCAGTAGTAGTGTGTTGCGCTGAAACCATGTTAGCTAGGTTTGATCCAAGCACATTCACTTTCTACATACCATTCCAATCCGACATGATGTATCCACGGTGGCCAAGCTCGTCTTTCAAGAGTTTTTGCATAACGCCTTCGCTTTCGCAGGCCCATGTTGAGTTGAGCTTGTTGTAGCTGAAGCATGTTAGTATCAATTTGAAAATACCATGGTGTCATAAAGTCCACTTACCTGCACATGAATGCCGCAACCTTGCTGTGAGCGGCGTCCGCGAATGGCCAAACATACAACTCGCGCAGAACCCTGTCGCTCACATCAGAGCTCATAGTGTCTCGGTTGAGCTCTTGTTCATTCACAATCCAATGCTTAGCAGTGGCCTGAACACCAGCTTCTTGCATGCCCTCAATGGTCTGCGCCATCATGATGCCTTGGAGGTAGGGATCTGATCCGAATCCCTCCCAGTTACGGCCGCCCTTAGCAAACTTACCCAGAGGACCAGCAGACGGACCTAGCTGCACGTGGATACCCAATTGCTTTGCTTCGTTGCCGAGA